TTGCAACTCTGTTTGTACTTCCAGATTTATGTTTAATCACAAAAGGAAATTTCTGGAGGAAAGTCACCCACCGAGCATACATCCTGCTGATGTATTTCTGACTATGAATAAATTTCAAGGTTTGGTGATCAGTGAACAACACAAACTCATCATGTACAAGGTAGTGTTTCCATTGCTTCAAAGTCCTCACAATTGCATAGAATTATTGCTCATAGGTACTCCACTTCTGCTTGACATCACTTAACCTTTTTAAAAAGGCAGCCATGAGTCTCTTCTCTTGATAAATGATAGCCTAATACCAATACCACGAGTATCTCACTCCACCTCAAGGATCTTCGCGAAACTTGGCAAAGCTAATATTGGAGCTATGCACAACTTTCCTTTGATGAAGGCTAAACTCTTATCTTATTCCTCTCCTCAACTGAATCTTCATTTTTTCAAACATTCCGTGAGGGGTGCAACAATAGTGCTAAAATGCTTGATAAATCGTTTGTAGAAAGTTGTCAAACCATGAAAATTCCTTACTTTAGAAATTGACTTGGGTGTTAGCCAATCTCGAATTGCTTTTGTCTTTTCTTCATCTACATAGAGACCATCTTCACCAACTACAAAACCTAAAAATAATAGCTTATGTGTACAGAAAGTGAACTTTTTCAAGTTGATGTACAACTGATTTTTCTTCAAAACCTTCAAGACTTGCCTTAATTAAACTAGGTGATCCTTCTTAGACTTACTGTAAATAAAGATATCATTGAATAAACCACAACAAAAGACCCAATAAAAGGACGAAAAACTTGGTTCATCCTCATGAAGATACTTGGACATTTGAAAGTCTGAATAATATCATCAACCATTCGTAAAGTCCATCCTTATTCTTGAAAGAAGTCTTCCATTCATCCTAAGTTTAATACGGATTTGGTGATAACCACTGCCAAGATCTATTTTTGAGAAGACCCTAGAACCCCCCCTCTCCCAAGCATATATAACACATCCTCCAATCGTAGATGGGAAACTTAACTATTATCTTGTTAATGGCACAACTGTCAAGATACATACGTCACTTTTCAGCCTTCTTTGGCACTAGAAGGACAGGTACTACACACGGACTCATGCTCTCCCTTATGAATCCCTTCTTCAACAACTCATCTATTTGCTCCCTCAAAATCTCATTCTCCATTCTAGCCCCAGGTACAAAATCAATATGGTGTTGAATATCCCTTATAGGATGTAACTCGTTCAACAATTCATCAGAAGTTAAGTCTTCAAATTCTGTCAATATTTCTTGCACCTCAGACGAAACACCATCATCTTCCTTATTTACTGTAAAAAGCCCCATAACTACAACCAGATAAAAGCAATCAGATTCTTTTACAGATGTAATCTCCTCCTCATTATTTGTAAGGACTAGTCGCTACCACGTGCGTTGCACAAATTTTGTATTTATCGCATTTTTATTAGTGTATGAATTTTAGTTTTTTGAAAAAGTTTTTGAAGGAATATCTAAAAAGATTTCCATGATATAAGAAAATAATTGCAAATTATTTTTACAATTAGATAGTAGTATATTATCTAGAAAAATATACTTGTATATTTCATGTTTGAATAAGAAATATACAAACTATTAGTGTTGATATGATTGAATTGAATGTGAAGATTATATTTTTAAATTTTATGTAATTTAATATTGTAAAATCGAAAAAAAAAACTCTTCGCATGGTGCGGAGACAGTTCAACCAAGTGCGGAGTAAAAATAAAAAAAGGTGTGGAGAGAAAAAAAAAAAAATTTTGGCATCATGCGTGTGTGGAAGAATATTTGTCAATTATGATAAAAAAAAAAAATTCTTCTCAAAATATGAAAAATAAGCTAATAAAATTACAATAAAAATTTTTTTACAAATAACATAAAAAAATCAATTTTATCTTCAAGAAGAAAACACATTTAAATTTAGCAATTTCATAACATTTTTTTTAATTCTCGAAAATAGAATTATAAAAAAGGAAACAATATTGAATTAAAGATTTAATACTCAAGAAATTCAATATTAAATAAATTTTATACATTTATAACAAATTATAAATCAGTTTATCGTATTTGCAGGCAGCTTACCGTATATCCTGCCTACTGTATTTGCAAACAACTTATCGTATTTGCTGCCTACCGTATTTACAACTTACTGTATTTACTGCCCACCGTATTTGCAGGCCACCGTATTTGCAAACAATTTACTGTATTTACAGCTTATCATATTTGTTGCCTACCATATTTATAGCCTATCGTATTTGCAAACAATTTATTGTATTTTCACCTTATCTATTTGCAGCTTACTGTATATGCTGTCTACCGTATTTGTAACTTACCGTATATGCTGCCTACCATATTTGTAACTTACTGTTTTTTTTATATATAGATTTTTGCACTTACAAACCGGGAATGCAAAATATCGTAATTCACTTACCAAAATGAATTTCAAAAAAAATTTCAGATTTTTATTTTTTTAACATATGTTGTGCATGTGATCATATAGAGTGAAACATACGTCCTAGATCAAATGGGGCGATGCCGGCGCGGAGCGACAGTATCGGCCTTGTGCGAATTTAAATTCACTATCTGGTTGTTAGGGATGCTGAATGGGTTGGGGTGTGGGGGCAACGCCCCCGCGGTACGGTACAGGAGTATTTTCTTGTATGGGCTTAAAATCTTATATTGTCAGGTTAGGGTTAGTATAAATAATATGTTGTAAGCCTATTTTTCATTACTCAAACGACGGTAAATTCTTGTAGAGGTGTGTAGTGTTGTCCTAAAAAAAATTGTGCGTGGAGCTGTGTGGAGTGTCCGCATCATGCGGGGATCACCGCACAACTTTGCGGGGATTCCCCGCACCAATTTGTTTTTTTTTCTACTTTATATATATTAAAAAAAACAATGGATAAAACAACCAATTGCAATAAATTTTAAATTCAACAATTCAATTGGAAAGAAACAGCTTTCCACACAATTGCCTAAATCAAAATAAGTTTGCTTCTCTTAAAGTAAGTTGCAAGTATCTCGTAATAAAGTGAAAATAGTTATGCCATTCAAAGAAGGCCTATTATATAGAATTCATCATTTAAAAGAAAATATGCATACACTAAATACAAACAGAAACTCTTAAAGATTACCAGAGATTAGAAAATCACCTGAGAAAAGCTTTTTGAAGAGAAGTACCTATGTCACCAGTCAAATATGCTTCATGCTTGAGAACTTGCTGATGAAGATATGTGGCAGAAAATTTGGCAACCACCTTACCTGTGAAATTCGATGCATTCATAAGAGAACAATAATGCACTGACGAGACAACAAAGAAATTGGGTAGCAAAACTTGATTTACAACAAAACATTATTTCAATTCAAACTAATTATAATCTTTAATGGATCTGTATTGTGAAAATCTTTAATGGATCTGTATTGTGAAAAATGGAAAAACAGAAGATTGTAGGTAGGAGAAAAAGAAATGGAAACGATGGTTGCGTGTTGAAATTGAAATAATTTTGAAGCTGTTAAAACCGGGATGGGATGAAAGAATGAGATTAGTAGATATTGCATCTCCAGAAACTAGAAAAGGCATGGCCATAGCGTATGAAAATGGAGAATGGAAAAGTTAAACAAAAAAAAATAAAAATGATGGCATTTTTTCTCTTGTACAGTAACTTAGGATTGGTTTACTATTGCATCTACAGTACCAACTACTTTACGTTTTTATTAGAGGCTAGATAAGAAAACCCTCAGTTCATTGATGAGTAGACTTCTTCGCCTATTTGAGAGGAACCATAGCGATCTTATGAATGTCCCATGAAAAGAGTACCACATTTCTCGCCCTTTGAAAGTTGAATCCACATCAAATTGCCATGGGCGACCTAATAGGATATGACAGGCATCCATGTCTACGACATCACACATAATTTTATCCTTATAATGCTTAACAATGGAAACAGATACTTTGCAAGTTTCAGCAACTTGAATGGAAGAACCTCTCTTCACTCGACTAAGTGAATGAAGTTTAGGATGGTTCTCATCTAGTAGTTTCAACAAATTCACCAACCATTTTGACACAAAGTTCTCACAACTTCAACTGTCCACAATCACTTCACACACTTTATTCTTGATTGAACAAAGTGAACGGAAGATGTAATGACACTGTCCCTCCACCTTAGGCGACAAAAGGATTCGTTACAATACCAAAGTGGGCCTTTCTACTCCTTCCTCCACAGCAAAAGCATTTCCAGAAGAGAAAATTAAATCAAATCTGTTCATCCAATATTTCAAATTCATATGTTTAACCCAAATACACACATAATCAATATGTAAATCACAAATATTCAGCGAAGTTTATTATTTTCTAGATATTTAGAAATTGAATGATTTTCATAATGACATCTAACAGTAAAAAAAAAAAAAAAAGAACTTAAGCAAATATGTTCACCTAAATTTCAAACTCGGATAAAATCAAACAAAATCACTATTATAAAATCAAATTGATGTTTTAAGGTAGATAAAAATTAATCAATTCCATCTACAAAAACCAAACCCTATCTATTTACCAAAAATTTAAGATTTAGCCTTTAAACCAAATAAAATCACTGATATTAAGCTGAGATTTCTATCTTCTAGGTAGATAAAATTTAAGATCATACCTAACATATCCGTCCGCTAGAAAAATGCTATTTTAGTGATTAATGGAGGTTGGAAGAGATATTGGGGAAAATGATGATTCTAAGGGCGTGGGTTTAGAAATGATTGTAGAGAGGGTGAGTGGAACGGTTATGGTAAATCTATTTTTTAAAAAGATTTGAATTGGTATTAGATAATATTAAAACAGTTTTTCTTTTTAATCCTATATTAAATAATTTAATTAAACCTTATTATCACCTGATTTGAGAAAAAAAATTTATACCACCTTATTTCTGGAATGTATGGTTTATATGTAGGGTTTCGGCTAATTTTTCCATTATAATTTACCGCGTCTTGTATGGGGCGAGTACCGGATCTGGAGCCAACCAATTAGATGCTCCATTTCATCGATAATAAACCCACCTGCTTCGCGAGGAAATACATGGAACTGGCACACTAACCTTAAAAGTATCTAATGTCTTCAAGATAGATGCACAACCCCTAACCTTCAGATCAAAAATCAACTTCCAAAAATGGTGACAATTTCTATACCCATTTTCAGCCGACCTTTATGTCATCTAATTTCGTTTATCATCTTCCTCGTTGCCCTGTTTTCAGCTCCCCATTTCTCACTTTCTCTCTCTAACAGACCCTATTTTGATCCCAACCTGGTTCTGATCGGTGACGCCAAGTTTACAAATAACGGCCTTTCTATTCAGCTTAATGACCCGAAAAACTCTTTTCCGAGCTCTGGATGTATGATTCAGAAAAAACCGATCAAGATTTTCAGCTCAAAGTCAAGGCCCATAAGACCAATATCATTTTCCACTGACTTCACGTTCTCAATTTCACCTCATAGCGGAGATGGGCTGGCCTTTATACTCGTGTCCAGGAAGTTTATGCTGAAATTTCAAAAGAAAGATTTTGGACTTCCGAGAGGAAGTCCGTTTTTTGCAGTGGAGTATGACACGTTTCTTGATGAGAATCTAGGGGATGTGAATTCGAATCATGTGGGAATCGATGTGGGTAGTCTTGTTTCGATGAAAACTAGCAATGTTTCGTCAATAAATTTGGTTTTGAATAGTGGGGTGAAGCTACATTCATGGATAGATTATGATTCGAGCTCAAAAAGATTGGAGGTTAGGTTGAGTAAGTTTGGTCTTGCCAGGCCCTACGATCCACTGTTAGTGTATCCTATTGATTTAGGAGAAATGTGGAGAAATGGAGAAGTATTCGTGGGATTGAGTTCATCTAGTGGAAACTCGATGCAGACTGGTAATGTGTATTCTTGGAAATTTAAAACAAGGAGCGTTCCAAATTGGCTACATTCAAAACCAGTTGATCCTCAGGTGTTTTCTAATGTTCGTAGCGAGGAGAAAAGAAATAATAGGAGATGGGTTTGTGTTCTGGGATTTCTCTCGGGTTTTATTACGATTGTTGGGTGTGGAGCGATTATAGCACTTGTTATAATGTTCGTGTGGGCAATAATTGAAAATAGCCGGGAGACAATTGTAACGGTCCCAACAACGTGTATGGTGCAGCCAGGTGATTTCAAGTACCAAAAGATCAATGTAGTAATAAATGATAACTCGGTTGATGTTAAGCATTAGATGCTAGTGTAATTGTTGTGTGATTGTGTTTTATGCTTTGTACTGTAATGTGATGGACAGGCTATATAGTTTCTGTTGCCCAGGATGATGAGGGGAAGCCAGATGTTTGTGTTTGAACATGAATGTTAATTTTTAGTGTTTCTGTTCATGTTCTTCGATTCTGTAATTCTAGGACTGCCAAGTGTTATTACTATGTCAAATGCAAACCATTTTTATGATTCTGTTTTTGTTTAAATTCGTTTTAAAGAATGTAAAATTGTGTACTTTAATTGAAATGCTGGCTGTATTTCCTGATCTTACATGGATTTTGTGTTTAGTTTCATGATTCTAAGTGCTTTTTGTCAAATGCACTGGTATACCTTATGATACAAAGTTATTGCCTCGAGGAAAGAGGGGGTAGTGTGATCAACTAGCTCTATATAGGCATTTAAAGATGTTTGTCAATTGATGAAGCTGTATTTATACTACTGGTAGAATATTAGTGTCTTTGCTTCTTGTTGTAAAAGTCATTCACATTCCATTGTCTCTATATAGACAAGTCTATCCACCTCGTATGCTGTTGCTGTGTATATGTTTTGGCATTCTTTATAAGAAACATAAGTTATTAGTAATCAACTTTTTTGTGCGTTTGTTCAATATGGAATGTCTCTTTGAGATGCATATGGTTATGTCGCGATCACTGCATGTAGTTGAATCATAACTGTGGAAAGTCGTTTTTATCTTGTGTTTTCTACTATAATTATGCCATCACACTAATTTGAACTGTTAAGATTTACCATGCTGTATTGTAGGTTTAGTTTTATGGGGCTATAAAAAGTTATTTGTAAAGAAATGTTGTAATACATGCTGGTGCTGTATGGATTAGAAGTTCAAGGTTGTGTTAGTTCTAGATGAATCAAGGGTTGTCATCCTGTGGACATGTCTGACTGATAATGTATGAACATACGGCCTTTCAACAAAGAAAGTTCTTTCTATTAATTGAAAAAATTGTTACGGAGAATTTCTAGAGGTGTCCCCTGGTAGGCCAACTTGTCTGATTTTGACTGGCCAGCTTTGTTTACTCAATGTGGTGTGAATGTGGTTGACTGGCCAAGAAGCTGGTTGCCAGAGTGGTGTGTGTATATTGGTAGGCTGGGAACACTACTTTGAGGTAATATTGGTAGATTATTCGGTCTACTTGTACTTATCCACCTGACCATGTTAATTATCAAACGTATCACAAGTTATATTATCATTTCCATTTGCTTTTAACTTGGAAAGAGTTGTGCTTTTAGCGTTCTTGGCTGAACCTTTGCATGTAAATACAACCGTTATGGAAGGGGTACTTGATTTTACTGGAAATAGAATATAATGGTCCGTTATGATCGTTTAAATTATCGTAGAAGCTATAGAGGAAACAAGTTCTCTATGAAAGTTCCCAGTCCGGGTTTGGATTATGTGAAGGAAAGTGGTTTATAAATTGGGGCATTTGAATGTGATACTCTCCAACTCGTCTAGGACTTGAAGGCCACCAATGTGTTCACCTCAAATGCATTAGTAATTCAGCCCGTGTATGATTCCCTTTCAAATCAAACGATTTATTTTTTATACTCATTTTTATCCACATTCACGCAATAAAATATTTTGCATGTAAATTCAATACTTTTCCCTACTTTTTAATTACATATTCTTAAAAAAAATCAATATTTTTTTGATGATTATGAATGTTTGGGCCAACTCACGCGCACCTCCATTAATTCCACGGGGTTTTAAAGTTTACAGTCAAATACTCATTTCAGTGGCTTTGAGGGGACTCGAACTGATGACCATTGAGGAACAAATCCAAAGTCAAAAAATCATTATTCAAAACATCATTTTTATATAATAATGGCCATCAAACCGAGACTTAGATATCTTTGGGAGGTAGGTTTCACACCAAATACGTTAGTGATCTACAGGATGTGGGTTGGCTTCTGCCTTGGAATGGAAATAAAATGGCCTATGCGCTTACTCTTGTGACTAATAATTTTCTATTTGCTTGGGGCTGGTAAATTTTGTACTACTATATTGTCTGCGGTTCTCAACATGACAACCTCTCTCTCAATTTGAAAATTGATGTCATTTCATTAATTCCTTTTAAATTGCATTGATTTATCCTAAAAATTTTATTTCAATTGAAATTTAGTTATTCAATGTGCAGAAATTATCTTAATGAAAAAATTTCTCAATAAAAGTTTTCTTCTTCTCAAACCATGTCCCGTACACATATAAGGAAATTAGATATAAAGAGTTAGGGCCGGCCTTGGGGCCAAGCCACCTAGGCAACCACCTAGGGCCTCCAAAAATGTGGCTTGGGCCCAGGGCCTCAAAACTTAAGCTTCTGTCCATGTTCCAGCAAGCTGTTCGAGTCCAGCAGAAACTTAAGCCCTTCAGCCTTCAGGAAATTGAAAGGACACGAAGGAAATTGAAGGGACAGGAAGGAAATCTGAAAATTGAAGGGACGACTCAACCAAAAGGTATGCCGTCTTCTTCAATTCAGAGAATCAGATTTTAGAATTCCCAAATCTCCTCTTGGCCTCTCAAAAAACTTTTATGTTTTCCTAATATGTTTATTGGAATTGAAAATCCAGTTTTTTTTTTTTTTTAATAATGAATTAAGCAGATGCAAATTTAAATTTGGAATAAATTTTGACGTTTTGCAGCTTGGAAGGGAAGTTAAGAAAGAGATTATCATTCCTAACCCCGATTACCGTCTCCCAATAGTCCTTCTTGGTGAGTACTGACAACTGATTGAATTTTAGAGCATGTTAATTTTAATTTAAATTTTTTTCTTCATAAAAAGCAAAATTTACTTAATGTTTTCCCGATATATTTGGATATGTTATGTTTAAGTAAAATAAGTGAGTTATGTAAAAATAACTCTTACCATACACTCAAAATAAGTGACTTATTTTTAGCTTTAACCAATAAGAAAAATTACTGATATTAGTAACTCATTTTGTACACTCAAATTTAGTGACTTATTTTCAGCTTTAACCAATAGTAAATATTAGTTATATTAAAACTTAGTTATTTACTTAACTTATAAATAGACTTATTAAGCTTAACCCAGCATGCTCCTTGTTTTATGTGCGATGAAATGTTATTTTACGTTGCTACTTCAAATGTCCTGCTATCTATTCCTTGAGTATATCTAAAGATATGTAACCACAATTCATTTTTGGAATGGCGTATATTGTTTGGTATCAGGCATTCTTTCCCATTAATAGAAACATTTTCACATTCTTCTTATTTCATGTGGGATGATTGAGAGCAGATATCAAGGTATTTTTGGCTATATTATGGTTGCAGTGTTTGGATTTTTTCTTGTTATACAGATTTTGAAATTTTACTTTTGACTAAATCTAGAGGGTACATAAACAATTTTCTAAATGTTATTTGGTTATTTCTTGCAGGGTCTCAAAATAATTTTTCGTTTAGGGCCTCCAAATTTTCAGGGTTGGCACTGTAAAGAATTGTGACAGTTAATTGAAATTCAGATGCCATCAGCAGAAGAAAAAAATATAAATAAAAAAAAAATCCCTAGTTGAGGAATTGGTTCAAAACAACTGTGACATTTCTCCATGAGGCAAGCACATTCTTATCCCATGCATGACATATTGAATCGTACACGAAAACATGAAACTGGCCAATCTCTTGTGAAAATATAATTTTTTCTTTAGTTGTATGAAGAGGATAATAAACAAATTCACATGGAAAGGTGGAAGAACTCCATTTTGTTTTTAAACCCTTATCCAAAATGGGTGATATTTTATAATACTAGAAAAATGATTGTCAATTTGATTGGAAAAATTTTCTAAACTGAGGGCGGGAATTAACAAGCTGAGAATAATGTACAAATGTATCATTATCTAAATTATCGCAAAAGATCACTCGAATCAGAAGTTCGAAAGATAATTTATTTAGGTGCATTTACTGACCAAAGAAATCAACAATATTTTACGCACCAATTTTAAATGTTTCAATACGAATTGATTTCATAGGAGGACAATTTGATAGCATTGTATTTGATATATCTATGGCACGTTTGAAGCGTGATGATATTCGATTCTAATACAAAAAATCTTTAAATGAAAATAGAGAAATTCATGAAGATGGTCCTATTAATGGAGCATATACTCTTGATGAATATTTAGATATAGCAAATTATAAAATCTCAGAAAAGATTCAGGTATTTGAAATAATGAAACTTGAGATATCTCAATAAGTTATGTCATTATTGAAAAAGAAATAGAATCGAAAAAAAATTGTTGACAACAAGTTTGCATATGATATACTGTATCAGATAGCAAGGAAACATAATAAATGCGTCGAAATATATCGATCGAATTAATGATTGACCAAACCTAAAGTTTTGGGATCAACAGTTTGAATACTAAAAGGTGCAAATCAATGTGAAATGAAAACGGAAAAGTGAAGTCATAATATGAAATGTACGATTCTTTACATAATAAATGTTGCGAAAACTTGTATAAATAGATAAGTTATCATGTGTTGAATGCAATCAAATGTCTATACCTTGTTAGAGTGACAATGCAAGAAATTTGATATGCATATAATAAACGATTATAGTCAACTCATATTACATATAAATTAAATACTATTCTTGAAGGATTTAATATACTTGATGCATAATTTAAATGATATTATCATGAGGGGAGTAAATACGCATTGTACTCTTTTTCGCTTGACCAAGGTTTTGTACCATTGGATTTTCATGGCAAGATTTTTAATGAGACAATTTTTGTAGCATATTAAAAAAAAAAAAAAAAAAAATATATATATATATATATATATATATATATATATATATTACTATTTTGCCTTTATTAGAATTTTTCCCACAAAACTTTTCCTAAATGAGGCATATTCTCCATGTAATGAATGTGTATAAAATGTTAGACCTTTACCCTAAAAATAATACCTTATATGTACGAGACTCTCAAAGAGGTCAATATGAACTATTTTTGAATCATCATATTACCACAATTATCAAAGATTGATAAAATATCTCTTATAAAGATGGCGTGATTTGAAAACTATGCAAGACAACATGATGCATAACTTTTCATGAGTGGTCCACGAGAACATTAGGTGAGAGCAGTACACTAAATTCCAATGATAGTAAGAGCAGTTAAAATTTTGAAGTATACACATAAAACTGCTTGAGTATCCTAAAAAACATCATACTCAATA